TAAAACTTAGATTTAACTATGAATATGATAACTAAGTAATATTCTTCCTTTCTTTTTGTAGTTCTTTTGTCCAACAGGTGCCCCAAGTGGATTACCTGAAGTCATTGGTTTTCTGAATGGAGCTTCTATTCAGCAAATTTTTAATATTAGGACTTTTGCAGGAACATTTGGCTCTTGTGTTCTAGCTGTAGCATCTGGACTCTTCTGTGGACCAGAAGGTCCTATGATTCATTTGGGGTAAATAATTTATGCTTTTAAAACTGCATACTAGTAAAAAAAATAAAGCATTGCTGCATTAATTAAAGAGATTCTACTGAATGAATCTACATAAAAGGTAGAATATCAGGGACTTAATTTTCTCATTCAGTATGTTAAATAAGACAAGATACATATACACAAGTGGAGGTCATTCTAATGAAAAACAACTAGGTTTTACTAATGTAAGTATAGTATAAATTTTCTGACAAACACCAACAGAATGTGGTGTAACCTAATAAACATTTATCATATTTAATGGAGACAAATTCAGAAATAAGTGGTCAAGGAAGAAATAGAATGAAAAAAATCCAAGTGACTGAAGAAAAGTATGTTATGCTGCAACTTTTACTGTAAATTCCACTTCTAAATTATGAATGAATATATAATCATTAATCTGAAAAATCTAAATAACTCTATAAATTGCTCATGTGTATTTTGTATTTTTAATTTTTTATAAAAATTAATAAGGAGAGTCATATTTGCAAATGTTTTTTTCTAGGGCAAACATAGGTTATGGATTGAGCCACTTCAGACCAAAGATTCTTAGAATTTATTTTCCTTCCATCATCAGATTTTGGAATACAGTTGACAGGTATGGGAATTTATCAACTATGTGCTTCTAAGGACCATCTCAGTGTAGATAATAGAATGTATAAGAATGAAAATATCTGGTGAGTAGTGGACCTAGGAAATGCTGTGGATTTTGTGTACTTAGATTTAGTAATACATTTGACTTCTAAAACCCCAAAAGACTGGCGTAATGTTCAAAAGGAACTTGATACACTTGAACATTGGGCTCCAGTCAACAAAATGTTCTTCAGTTATGGGAAATAGAAGGTTCTGCATTTAGGCAGGGAAAAAAAAATCACAAATAGAAGACATAGGATCTATCTGACCGTGAGAGATTTTAAACAGTAGAACAGTCCTCCTTCTGAAGTTGTAGGTGCTCTATCACTGGTTTTTTTTTTAAACTGGATATTTGTTTTTTCTGGAATGGTATGAAGATTCTTGAACTAGGCAAGGACTTGGACTAGAAGACCTCCAAAGTTCCTTCCAAGCCTAGACAATGTGTTGTACGACGTATTCGTAACAGAATGCATAAACACTTCATTCACCACAAAATTTAATGATGGCATCCGGATATGATCTTCTTCTAATTCCATCTTCGTTTCTCTTTATTTCTTAACATAAAAAATTCCAGAAGTGAAAGTTGTATTTATTGTCCCCCATCTTTGGAGATTGGTTGCAGTGCTTGTAATAATTATGAATCTGAAATGATGTGCTGTGAACATTTGGGACCCATCTTTCTTCAATATCTTCACATTTCCACTGCAGAAAAGAGCAGTGAGCAGTTTATGCAATACATGAACAACATCATTTTAACTGGATCTAGTGGGATCTGCTGCGGGAGGGGACTGACAAAGAAGTTAAGATAATGGTCACAACTCTCCAATCACAGCACTACACCTATGAGTGTTAAACACAAAAAAGGATCAAGACTTTAGTTGTCTGGTTGTGACCACCATCTTAAGTTTTTGTTACCATATGTTTTAGATCTATAGTATTACAAGTAAGCATACATTGGAAGAGTGGGTTGCAATACAGATCTTCAGCCTGAACTTCCTCAAATCTGTACCCTCAATTTACAACCAGAATAGTCTCTGAGGCACCAGGCTGGAGAACGATTGTATAATATATCTGAAAACAACACATTTACTTACGATTTTTTTTTTTAATTGGAAAAAGAAAATTAGAGAGATTAGAGAAATCAATTCATGTTACACTATCGAGCACAGTATTTCTGGAGTACAGACAGCACAAACAAATATGCTAAAATTGCCAAGCCAAATGCATAAAAGAATATCAGAACATAACTCTCCAGAGTTGATTTTTGATTATCTTCTGTCATGAACTAACATAGCAGCTGGCTTACTCTACAGGTTGATATGAAAATTTTCTATTCATACAGGATTTTACATGGATATAGCTTGCATAAAATGCTAAGTTTATATGAAGTAACAAACTTTCAAAATATTTGGATGTGATTAAATCAGCAGTTCTTGCAATATGAATATGAGTTCAAATCTTATCTTTTATTTGTAAAATGATGGCATTTGCAAATCCGTGGTGCACCCAGAATGTTTTATTTTAAACAAAATGCTAGTGTTATTGTTCATGTCAAGCTCAGATTTTGGAAAGGGTTGAAGGATCAAATTCTATTGCTTTAAAACAGTGGATTATGAAAATATGTAAATAAAATCTAAACCTTTGACCATACTGTTTGTTGTATCTCCAAACAAAAAGCTATTACAAGTTATCTGTGGCTCAAGGACAACTTGACAGCTGAAATAAACAGAATACATTTTGTCTTTTAACTTGCTTCAGCAATTTGTGAAAGAAATATGGGATGTGTTTCTTAAGCTGTTACTTATGGAAAACATTTGGCCCATGACCAATAATGCAGACTTCAGAAATATCTTTGTACGTTCACTTAAAACAATTGAAACTTAATTCTACCTGATCTGCATTATAGCCAACACACTGGGATTCACAAAAGGCCTTGATCTGATTCAATTTGACAAACCAATTCTGAACAAAATTGTTTTTGTGTTAGCTGTAAAAGTTAAGGTAAAGGAGTCCCTGTGGATTTTACTTCACTAGTCGTTGCCAACTATAGGGGGGCGGTGCTCATCTCTGTTCCAAGGCCATTGAGTCAGCACTGTCCAAAGAAATTTCCGCAGTCATGTGGCCAGCATGATGTCATGGAGTGCTGTTGTCTTCCCACTGAAATGGTACCTATTTATCTACTTGCATTTGCATGCTTTCAAACTGGTAGGAGCTGCAGCAAGGATGGGAACTTACCCTGTTGTGTGACACTTGGGTCTCAAACCTGGGTTGCCAGCCTTCCAGCTGACAAGCCCAGCATTTTAACCATTGAGCTACCACCCCACCCCATATTAGCTGTAACCTTCTTAAATATTGCAACTCAACCTAACTATAATATGTACCATCATAAAGTAGATGGTTTGGAGTTAACATTTTTCTTTTCTTACCTCACAAGTCCATGGTTAATATTTGGAGTGAGATTTAATTTTATAAGTAGAATATGAAGTGCACAATTGTCTTATCATGTTATATAATCCTATAGAGTAAATAAAAAAAAACCCTTTTTTTTCCTTTCTCAACTCTGTTACAGAAGGAATTTTGTTACAGCTGGTGCAGGAGCAGCACTTGCCTCTGTATTCCATGCTCCTGTGGGTGGACTTTTATTTACACTAGAGGAGGTGGCCTCTTTCTGGGATATCAAATTGGCCTGGCAAACATTCTTCTGCTGCTTGATGGCTGCTTTCACTTCAGATTTACTATCCTCTTCTCTCTATGGGTTCGTATACAGGGGTCAATTTGGATTTTTCAAAGCAGAGAAGAGGATTTTATTTTGGGTATGTATTAAGTTGATACCAAATCAAATAATGTTAACTATATTTCGGAGGGGCAGTTAAAAACAAACTCTTTTATTGATAACATCCTCCTTTATCTGGGGTAGTTTATGACTATAGTTAAAACATTATAAAAATAAAATTGCCAACCAGGTAGCAAATAATTGCAAATTTGCATCCAGGTTGTAGGGGAGTTAAGTTAGGCTCTGAACAAGAACTTGCATGCCCTTCTGAAAGCTACTGAGTTGAGATATGCTTTGCTGAATTTACTTTGGGAACCATCATCAATACGCATGTCCTGGAATTAACTTGACTAGCTGACCATTTTGATTGGGACCTCTGGATTATTTAATCCCTTTCTGTATGCATTCAGGCCTGGGATGGAAACGGCATTGGTCACAATTTTAGATAATGTCAGATGAGAGTGGGATGAAAATTGTGCATTTATCCTTGCTTTGCTTGATCTCTTAGCAGCCTTCACTACCACTGATCATGGTATCTTTCTGGATCAGCTCGGGAGATCGAGGGTATTATTGTGCTGAGTTCTCCTTTTTTCTCCAGGACTGATATCAGTCGGTGTGACTGGGAGAGGGAAAGATCCCTAGTATGTGACGTGCTGCAGGGTCCTATGCTTTTTCTGCTCCTGTTCAACATTTACATGACATCACTGGGTGAGCTCATCCATTGCCATGGATTGAAGTATCATTAGTACACTGATGATACCTAATTATACATCTCTGTCTTGGCAAATTGAGTGATGATTTTGATATCCTATCCCAGTGCCTGGAAGCTGTGAGGGTCTGGACAGGGAACAACAGGCTTCAACTGAATTCTGGCAAGAATAACTGGTTCTTGGTTTTGGGGCCTGCCATTTCTGGAACTATGATATCTTTGATGCTGGATGAGATCACACTGCCACAAACAGAGGTGGTGCAAACTTGGGAGGGGGTCTTCTACACTTGCAACTCCTACTTAAAGAGCAACTGGCAGTCACAGCTAGGAGGGCCTTTGCATAGTTTTGTGTTGTGTGCATATTGCGTCCATTCCTAGATCAAGAAGCTCTGCTTGTGGTTATTCATATTCTAGTTATCTTCTTGGTTAACTATTGTAATGTGCTCTACATGGGGCTTCCCTTGAAGTATATCCAGAAGCTTCAGCTGTGCAGAATGTGGCAGTGTGGGTAGTTATTTGTGCCCCTAGAACAGAACATTTTACATTTCTGCTCTATGATCTGCACTGATTACTAGTTTGCTTCCAGATCCAGTTCAAGATGGACCTTTTTGCCTTTAAAGTCCTCCAGGCCATGGGACTGGGTTATTTGATATAGTATCTATTCCCAAGTAGATCTGCTGATCCCATCATATCTGGTAGAAGAGGTATGTTGTGGGTCTCATCTGCCAAGGAGCTACATCTGGCAGAATCCAGGAGATGATTTTTTTCTGCCATGGTGCCCACCTTATGGAACATTATCCCCTTTGAAATGAAGTTGGCTACATCCCTGTTTCCATAAGTCCCTCAAAATTTGGTTATGTTATCAGGTCTGGGAGTCTAAAGGGAATGGTGAGATGTTAAGGTGGCTCTACTGTTAATTAATACCTGTTGCTCTCTCCTTGCCTTTAATTATAACTTTAATATTTTACTTGTTTTTATATCACTGTTTTATAGGAGTTTCTTTTATTGTACACCACCCAGAGTCATGTTTTATGAGATGGCAGCCATATACAACTCAACCATTGGAGAATAGAATATAGATGACACCTGCCTCCCCATTTTCTGTTGGGCAGTTATAGAGTGCTTTTAAGTGAAGCTTTATTTTTAATAAGTGCTCTTAAGCACATGACAAAAGTATTAATTCCTAACAGAATTTATTTACTTAATAATGTTAATTTATTTACTTCCTTTGCATCTTTCTCCATTCACCAAAAGAACAAAAGAAAAGAAAAGAAAAAACCTGCCAGAATATTTATTGCCTTTCTTTAAAATAAGATAGCTTTATAACTTCTCTTCTAGCCATCTCAGAAATCTCACTAAAGAAAATTTTGTAACAATTTATGCTTGGAAAAGAATCATCAGTTTAGCCAGCCAATGAAGAACCTAATAGAACGGAAGCCAGTGAGGTGGAGATCTATGATTTTTATGCCAGAGAAAGGCATTTTGTAAACAAGTGACAGATGGTAGGAATATCCAAAACTGGAAATGAGCAGCTACTCAAAAGATAGAATGAAGCAGCCCAGAATTTAAACCACAAAGCTAGAAAGGAAAGTTCTGGCATACTTTAAATTGGTGGTCCCCAATCTTTGTAGCTTGGTCACTTGGCTGGGGGGGGGAGGGGAACTGGGCTGCATGAATAACAGGCTGGCGTGTGTGCGCACACAGCCCTTGCATGAGTGGTGGATTGGCATGCACATGTGCAGCTCAACTTGCGCAAATGATGGGCTGGTGCACACCTGCATGAATATCATCTGGCCCACCGCTTGCGCAAATTGAGCTGTGTGTGCTCTAGCCAGCCACTTGCATGGCCCAATTCTGAATAGGCCGCTGTTCGGTAGTGGGCCAGGGCCCGGGGATTGGGGACCCTGCTTTAAATGGAAAATTCTTTCTATTTATGGCTTTCTATTTCTCCACAATAAATCTATCCCTCTAAACTTCTTAGGTCCGCTTGGGGATGCAGAGAGACTGTCATACCTATACAAAGCCCTGAAACAGCATGTATGAGTTTATCCAATAGATTATTTCAGTCAGTTCTAATATTATCAATTATACAATCCCATAATAAGAATTTGTATTTTAATCTTCAAGATAAGAAGGACCATGGGAAACAATGAAAGTTCTGGAAAAAAGACTTTGGTGATGACCTATAAACTATTATAAGAACAAACTATTTTTATGTACCTAATTTCATTTTATATGCAGAATGGTTTTCATCATGTACCTTTTATCCTGGAGGCTGCTATGTATCAAATAATTGGCAAAAATTACAGAACATTTTATTTTGTTTCCTTTCTATTTAGGTAAAGAACTTACTGGATATGAGTGTGTTGGCCTTTCTTCCAGCCATCTTTCTTGGAGTACTTGGGGGTCTTTTAGGAGCTTTTTTTGTTTTCCTGAACATAAGGATTAATAAAATACGTCTGTGGTTCTTCAGCACAATTCAAAAACCATCCCTCAGAAAATCAATCAAGCTTCTCGAATGTATCCTGATCCTTGTAAGTATTGAATGTTATTTTGTTGAGCATTCCAAAGACATATTTATACCAGATTCAGAATGGTAAGTCATAGATATTTAGTAATTTGTTAATGTAGGCTTTCACTGTTGGACAGCTTTGGGCTTCCAGGTTTAGTGACTATGGTCTAAACCAGTGTTTCTCAACCTTGACCATTTTAAGGCAGGTGGACTTCAACTCCCAGAATTCCACAGCCAGCAATGCTGGCTGTGGAATTCTGGGAGTTGAAGTCCACATGCCTTAAAATGGTCAAGGTTGAGAAACACTGGTCTAAACAACAGATTTCTTAACATTTTGCCAGCAGCTGTGGTCTGCTATACAGAAGATTTCTTCTGAAGATGCCAACCATAGTTGCTGGCAAACATTAGGAAATCTGTTTTCTAGACCATAATCACTAAGCCCTGAAGTCCAACATTAAATTGTTGGCCTATCTTCTTCCAATATTTTGCCCTCTTTCTGAATTTTCTCGAAAGCTTGGTCACTATCAGTTGCATTTGGATTGAAAATTGCAACCTTTGAACAGTAGTTCCTTAATCAATAGAAAATACCATTAATACATCGATTCATAATCAATGTATTTTAACATATTTTACTTTACTATATGTATACAAATTAAAAGTAGTTTGGAGTAAAAAGACACAAAGATACCACTTTGGTCTAGTGGTTAAAAACACTAGACTAGAAACCAAAAGACTGTGAGTTAATAGTCCTGCCAGCTGGGTGACTTTGGACAGTCACTGTTTTGCACCCCAACCCACCTCACAGAGTTGTTGTGAGGGAAGTAGGAGGAGGAAGGAGTATCAGGTAGATTTGCCACCTTGAGTTATGTATAAAAATAACAAAGGTGGGATATAACAGATGCCAATATAATATAGATAACAAAAATTAATTGCAAATATGTTCTTCTTAAAACAACTTTCATTTGCTAATCTTCATATTATGAAATAGAAAAACTATTAATAAAAATAAATTCAGAAATGTTCTTTCCTTGCAAAATTCCTTATCTGTTTTTATTACAAGGAAATCTAATATTCAATTTTTAACAAAATAGGGTTTCCATGATACTGGTGAACAGTTGAAAGACCTGGAGTTTAAAAGTTTAAAAGTTCAAGTTTAACACAATGCTTCCATTTGAATTATATTTAAGAATGAAGCTAAGCAAATATAATCAATAAACATTGATTATGAATATAGGAATATGTAAATGTATCATTGAGAAACATATGAATTGAATTGAACTTTATTTGGCCAAGTGTACATATATTATACTACATAAAGCGTACTTAAAGCACAAAATACCTTTCTTTCTGTAAACTGATGTGACCAGATAAGTAGAAGTACAATTCTCATACACTCCCAAACTTGTTGATTGAATTCAGGCCAAATACAAAGTGGTGTTTTGAATTAGATTATTATCATCAAACATTGAGCTGTAACATGACCCAATTTGTCAGTTAATTGTGTTGCAGTTTATTTTAGATGAATTGAAATTTCCAGACCATTTTCAAAAACAGAGCTTTCTCCTCTAATGAAGTGCAACATTCTTGTCTCTCCCAATTCAATGCCTTCCATTATGCCACACATGGAGCCTACCCTTCCTAGAATTTATTAGGCAGTGGCATTCAAAAATTAAATTTTAGTATCTCTAGAGGGCAACAATTTGCAGAAAACTATCAGTCTAAAGACTAGCAAACTAATAAAAATAGTTTTGATTGTTCTAGTGCTATGAAGATTATTTTTATTGGATTATTGCCTTTGATTTTAGCTCTTACATGAGCTTAAATGCCCCTCTCTGAAATATTTTGTGAATCTGATAGGTAAATTGCTTGATCTAGGTTGTGTGAATATATCTGTAGATGTTCCTGTGGTCTGAACTGGCTGATTTTAGGCTATCATTGAACATTTCTTTCTGTATTTTAAAATACTATATGCAGGTTTTGACTATTACTGCTACGGTCTACTTGCCATCTTTTTTTCACTGTACTCCTGTCAGGAGGCTGCCAGCATCTGATCCAACTAGTAAGTCTCAGAGGTAAGTAGTGAAGGAACATGTATATTAAAATGTCTCCTGGCTACTTCAATTTGAGAACTGATTCAATCATGTAGCTTCAAGGCATGTCATATGACCTGGGTCATATACTTAGAGGGCTAGTCCATAAACATATTTCATAGTAGATCCATAGGAAATGAAATGTATACTCCCTTCAGATATAAAATATTGTACTTCTCATAATTAGAGATTCTGTAACGATTTATGACAATACCAGCATCCTTTCAGAGTGATGCCAAGAAGTATGGAATCAGGCACTTTTTTGCCCTGGCAGGAATCATAGAAAAAAAACCCACCAGTTTTCGTATGCAGGTTCCTTAAATAACTGCAAAACCTTTTCGTCTTGAATTATTGACATCAAAGTACAAGAATCCTAAAGAGCCCTGTCTTCTGGATTAGAAAGTGAGGAGGCTAATTGCTGCATACATAGCAATAGGAAGGTTATATCATATATTCAACTAAGCCTCTTATTCCCCAAAGGTGATTAAAAAATGTAAGAAATAGTATACATACAATAGAACATACCAAATAATCACCAGTTTTAGAATGATTCACTGGAAAACAACTTTTCTTTGAATAGGTGGATGAGTGACTTCACAATGCATAGAAAAAAAACCTACGTAGGTGAAAAATGTATTCTACCCCAACCACCAGCCATGCGTTTGACTGGCATTGAAAGCAGTTTGTTAACTATATTGCATCTTTTGGTTCAAGAGATTTAGCTTAGATGAAATCTTGCATATGAAGGAACTTTGGAAGCACATTAAGAGCTTCAGATATACTGTCAGGAAAGGAGAATATGGATAATAATTGCCTTAGCACCTGCATTATATATTCTTATCCTGAACTGATTATGATTTCTTTCCATTTTGGTTGTAAGCAGACATCATCTTAGCTGGCAAATATGCGAATATAACTGTAAACCAGCCACTTTACAAGATAGATCAAATGAAACAGAATTTTTCAACCAAACCTTCAATGAAGGTAAGAGAAAAAAAAATCTCCCCACTTCCCTCTCTCTGTTCAAGAACAGTTTTGCTTAAATTTTCTTCTACAAGATTCACCTACAGATGTTTTGTAGACTGGTCACTGATTGTAATAAAAACCTATCAGCTCTGATGTTGTTAACCTTGGTTTTCATCAATATTTGGATTCAAATTATGCCATTTTGGGAATTTGCGGACCTCTGTAAAACATTCTAATCATACTATACTCTTTCAATATTTTCTCTCAGAACAGGGATGGACAACCCAGCGGTCTTTTCCCTATTTTGTAATCCCAGCTTGTACCACCAAAATTGCTAGTAAAACTGATAATTTCCAGTGCTGTCAATTTTCTCCTTTGGTCTAAAAGGAGGCTAAATCAAATCTTTATTGTAGTTATTAACCAACACAGAAAGTAAAGGTATAATTTTAACTGAAAGAAATTTAAAGATAAAATGTTAATAGTTGACCCGATAAAAGCTAAAGAGATGAAAATAAATGATGGGGGTAAGTTAAAAACAGAAATTTTAATTAAAAGAAAAAGCTTTAGCACTTAATACAAGTGTTTTTGGCTAATAAAAACAACAGGCAACGATCCTAAATCTAATGCTAAAAGTAGTTTCATATCTGACAGACCATAATGAAACACGTTCAGCTGCTCCTATTTACCATGTGCCTCATATTCAGCGACACATAATCTGACTATCTTATAACTGGTGTCAGATAGCAGGAACTATACATATGGTTGGATGGTAAATTCTGTGACATTCAGAAGTGGAATAATTAGGACTCTATGGGGTTCCCTATAAAACTGGGAGTAAAAGAGGGCATGCTCAGGAGAGTCTACCTTTTCTGCAGGGGCATCATGGCCATGGTGTCTTCTTTACAGTATGTACCTACAGGAGGACTGAAGGCAGGACATTTCATTGGGCTGGCATGAAAGCCCTTTTATGTATTGGAACATCCAATTGCATGAGATATGCAGCTGATGCCATGATGTATCTAAAATTCTCAGCTTTTAAAATTTGAATATTAGAGTTTGGATTAAACTCCCCCATAGAATCTAAAAAAGAATTAAAAGTAAAAGGAGAAAGCCTGAAAAAATTGGCCCAGCCCCTTGATAAGATCATCTCATCATCAGACATATCCTATGGCTATTAGAATCAATAATAATGATAGCAACAATAGCAGTCCTGGTCAAAAAGTTGCTTCTCGTATGGGATATGTGAATTTACTATTTATGTAAGACATTAACCTAAGTAGCAAAGTCACATAGACTTGAACAATTTGCTTCCAGAAGCTGTGGGTGCTCCAACACGCAGATTTTTAAGAAGAGATTAGATAACCATTTTTGTGAAATGGTATTGGGTTTCCTACTTAAGCAGGGGGTTGGATTAGATGACCTCCAAGTTCCCTTCCAACTCTGTGATTCTGTTATTCTATTAGCATCCTTTTGAGAGATAATTGCAATAATAGTAACAATAGCAACAACTGTGTACAATCTGTGTCCATTTTACTGAGTGTAATGAACTAAAAAGAAAAGAGGAGGAACCATAATGAATGTGATGTGTATCTTTATGTCTCTGTGTTTTACAAATCTAGATTATGAACTCTTCTCTATTCTGTCTCTCTCCTTCCAAATTTAAAGCTGCTGCCCTCCTGGCAGAAAATGGCATGAAAGGAATCATGTACTTATTCAGACGTGGGACTCACGAGGAATTTGGATATCCCTCTCTTTTTATGGCACTTCTTCTCTATTTCTTGTTGTCCTGCTTGACTTCAGGCTCTGCTGTTGCAAGTGGCTTGGTTATACCTATGCTGTAAGTATAATATTCATTTTCTACTGCTTGGGGATGCTGTCATCTCTGCTAAAAAGTAAACTGGGGAATAGGGCACAAAGATTAAAGAGACACCTAAATTCTGCTCAGGACTTAAATGATGCTATCACCTGTCTTTTAACTTCCCCAAAGTTTTCTCCTATTACAAAAAAGTTGTTTTTCCCCCATCTTATTCTCAACATTTCAATATTTATATATTTCTTTTGTGGCTGTTTTTGAGCTACACACATGTTTTGTTATACATACCTTTCCATAATGTCGTTCATTGCTTCTGCTTCCTGAACTGAAGAACAACCTGTGGGAGAAGTTCCTTTGTAACTTAATTGTAGTTATGGAAGTATCAGGACACTTTTCAGTGACATCTGCAGATATGGCCAAATAAGTTAATATGATGAAAACAGTGTCAACACTGTTAAACACCATCTGTTTGATATGTGCTTTGGGACATCAGATATCGGTCCTAAAGGGGCAGAACTTACAGCCCAATGCTGCTTTCATAATTTTGTAAAAAAAAACAAAAAAAACAACAGTGTGGGCTTTTTAGGGGAATTATTGTGCAATAAAATACAAAATATTTAAAAATATTAATTAGTTGATTTAAACATGACTCCTAGTTACTACCTGGATTTATTCATATAATTTTCTCAGCAACAATAAAGAAATGGTTAGCCACTGACTTTATTTTATTTTATTTTTAACTTCCCAATTTAACCTGTAGCCTTCCTGGTGTTCTAATCACTTCATCCAAAGTTAGCCAGAAGCCAGCCTTCAGTTGCTTTGTTGCCAAATTAATCTTCTGTTGAGAATCTTCTATTCCCAGCCACAAGTTTTTAACCAAAATTTTCTCATTATAAAAAAATAATTTATTAATCAAATAAGCACAATCTGAAGCATTTTCCATGTAGAATTTTCTCATATTCTTTCTTTTTTCTTCTGCAGATACATAGGAGCTTTATATGGGAGAATTGTTGGCTTGGTATTAGTTTCCATTTTTGGAATTCAGACTGATGAAAGTCATGCATGGATTGATCCTGGATTGTTTGCTGCAATTGGAGCAGCTTCCTTTTTCAGTGGTGTTTCAAGACTAACAATATCCCTTACAGTCATCATGGTATGTTTAAGATAATTTTTAGAAAGAGTTGTTTGATCAAAAGCCTTAGATCAAAAGACTATTTGATGAGGTGTTGCCTGACTGGGAGACTAACAGTATGGGAATGAGTGGCTGGAATCATTAGATTTTTGCCCTGAAGAAGTTTTTTTAATAAGAAAGTTTGGAAGATTTTTGCTGTGCTGGGAAGAGGTAATGAGAGACTTACCAGTTTCATCCAGACGTTGCTATTTGGGTGAAAAATAACTGTTTGATGTAAAAAGAAAGTTATGCCCACAGGTCTGTAATAGTTCTTTTTTTTTTCTAGCTTATGTTTATATACAATATTGCTTTTCACAAATTGCCTCCATAGGCAGTGCAATAATTGAAAACTACATTAAGTATAGTATAAAATATAAAAACACACACAAAACAATATAATGTCACTTTAGAATAAGCATAGCTTTTAAGATGAATACCATTGGCATTCAGATTTTTGTAACCTGGCTGATGTCTAGAATTGCCTTAAATTCTGACCAAATGCTAGGATTTGAGGGAATATCACATTTCTTAAAGAAACTGATAATTAGTTACCAGGTAAATGTTTTTATACTTTTGACCAGGCATTATGGGTAGAGATATTATAAGAAATTTGGGGAGAAGGCATAAGACTTAAATGACCGGGGGCATTTTAGACCTGAGGGGATGGGAACCAAATTCTTGGTTATCATAATCAACATCTTTATAGATTTAGAGAATGTTCTTAAGAAAGCTGCTTCTTGTGTTTGAAGAGTCAATAGCTTACCTTATTTCAGTCCCTGATTTTGACACTGGATCTAGATTCAAACAAATAAATCTCCAAGGTATATTTCTCTGCTTTGAAAAAATCTAAACCTAGAAGACATTGACTTCCTAGTAATAAAATGCTTTTTATACAGCAATTATGTCTGCAATGTTTTTTTGAAATAGAATATAAGCATTATTTATCCTGGACTACTTTACCAATGAAATAACCAAAGGATCTATTTGGGCTTTAAGACAATCAAAACCCTAATTTCAATATCATTTTTCTGGAAATAAAATATCTGAAGAGCAAAACAAAACCTTTATCTGAACATTGTTCAGGAATGCTATGTTCAGTGCAACCAACTTCCTATGAAACATTCAGAAACAACTTAATATCCATAGTAGCAGAAAATGATAGCAGCAGCATAACAGATAATATTCACTCTGGCATCCCAGCATTGCACATATACTGTAGCCCCTCTAGATGGCAATTATAACATTTGTGAGTCTTTTTTTTATATACTGGGAAGTAGAAGTTCAGTTCATGTCCCTCCAAAGTAAACAGAGGCATCATATATTTTTGACAATGGTAAAAGAATTTGAACAGTACAATACTGTAGTTGAAAAACTAAACTGTAAATGCACACATTTCTTTGTCTGATAGATTCCAAAATAATTTTGGAATGTTTGTTTTGGCTTTTTGCATAATTGCTCAGAGACTATGGGAGATGGAGAAATATGAGGTATGGATAAGCAGTGCATGGATGGATGTAAAGGAAGAACTGTGCATGTACTGATATGAATGTATTTGGGAATATAGCTTTCATTCTACTTGTGCAACCCTTGGAATCAAAAATGTTGCTTATACATTTCTTAAGGGCTCAGTTGTTGGTAACTCTTACGGACACCATTTCCTCTATAAGTACATAACTTTTATGTTATTCTTGTTTTGGGGTAAACAATGTGCAAAGTTCAGAAAAGCCAAAAAATTAAAGCTTGAGGTAAGAAACAGATATAGCTAAATGTAGTTTACATCAGTTCCATTAGTTATTTTTTCTTTATATTTTTATATCCTTAGAAACTTTCTTTCCATCTTTACACAACAGTTCATATTTTTTTTAAAAAAAAATCTCTTTTTTTGAGAATCTAGCTACAATTTTCTCAGTCCTCTTTTTTCTCTTGATCCATTCACTCCTCCTTCACTTTCTGTTTTCCACATTTTTTCTTTCTATGCAACCAAACTATCTCAATGTGGCTCTTTTGCACTGGCCACTTATTTTTATATTTAGTCCATATTCATTTAGCACCTATTAATTTTTGTTTTGTCTCTTCTTATGCACACTTAAATCACCCATTTCCACAGCATTCAATCAGTCTGATGTAATGGTTAAGGTGCTGGCCTAGAAACCAGGAGGTCTAATTCTACTCTTGCCCAGCTGGGTGACTTTGGGCCAATCACTCTCTTTCAGCCCAACCCACTTCACGGGGTTGTTGTGGGGGGAAATAGGAGGGGGGCATTATGCATGGTCACTGCCTTGATTTATTCATAAAGTAAAACAGATAAATAATCAAAGACATGATAGATAAATAAATAACAAATAAACATTTATGTTCCTAATGATATACCCACCTCAACCTCCTAAATGAAAGGAAGAATAGAAATCATTAAATAGCAACTTTAAAGTATTCTGATAATAGACTTAACTTTAAGATGTACTGTATATTTATTCATGTTTTCTTTTGTTCTCTTCCCTCATCTCTTGTTATGAAATTAATTTTGTTTCTTTTCTCTATTCAATGAAATGGGCTCCACCTCTGCATCATTTCATTCATTACCTGCTTCATGCTGATATCCACCATGGATATTTATCCAGTTTTTGTTAAATAAGCTACAATTGGCTCTTTTTACTCAGTATACTGAAGTATAACTAGACAGACTATTTAAAAGCTATGTGCAGTGGGATAAGTCAGATAATAACCACAGGGGCTTTAAATGGGATGAAGTCTTCAAATTAATACATTTTATTAAAAAGCAAAAGCTTTCATGAATTATAGTTTACTTCATCAGATGATTGGTATAATAACTGATTTAAGATTTAATTAAGAATGAAGCAAGAATGGGGAGGGAAGAGGGTAGTTATGCAGGTTACATGTAAGACAAATTATAAGTCCTCTCATTTTGCAAGTATATTTTGTTAAAAATCCATTGAGTTTGTTTAAACCTTCTGAGATAGCCTTAATTTTTTAAATATTACCCATCTCACATGTAAGAGTGCAGAGAAGAGCAACAAAGATAATTAGGGGGCTGCAAGCTAAAACATATGAAGAATAGTTGCAGGAATTGGGTATGTCTAGTTTAATGAAAAGAAGGACTAGGAGTGACATGATAGCAGTGTTCCAATATTTGAGGGGCTGCCACAAAGAAAAGGGTGTCAACCTATTCTCCAAAGCACCTGAAGGCAGGACAAGAAGCAATGGATGGAGCCCAATCAGGAGAGAACCAACCTAGAACTAAAGAGAAATTTTCTTACAGTTAGAACAATTAATCACTGAAACCACTTGTCTCCAGAAGTTGTGACTGCTCCTAAGCTGGAAGTTTTTAAGAAGAAATTGGACAATCATTTGTCTGAAATGGTATAGGATTTCCTGCTTAAGCAGGGGGTTGCACTATAAGACCTCCAAGGTCCCTTCCAACTCTTGTTATTCTCTTAATATTTATCCAGTTTATACTGGATGGCAGAATTTCAGAAAAATTAACAATTGGCTTTTGCAAGAGAGTTGAGAGCACAGCTGATCAGTCAAGAGTACACCAATCATCTGATCTGCAGCTAGTGGTGCAGCAGTGGTAACAGTGTCAGCAATGTTGATGCGGGGGGTGGGTGGGGGAGGGTATTGGATTTCCCCTCCCCCCAAAGAGTCAGGTGTTAATCTTTTACCAGGACACAACTACCTGTATCTACATAGCCGCTTCTTTCCTCCATCCCCATCTTGTATTTCCCTATCAAATATGTATTTAACCAACCATGAATCTGATAAAGTAAGCTACAGTTCATAAACCTTATGCCTTTTAAAGTCTGACCACCAACTACCAGATTCCTGATTTTGACCTGTATGGGTTTCATACACTTTCCATAAATCCGATTTTATAGAAATTGCTTTTTAAGGGAGATTTAGCTTTTGGTTAAGCCATGCGTTTACTTATATCTTGTTTATTCCCATTTTCTAATCCTTTACAAAGGTAATTTAAATATAATGCAGGAAGTGTAGATTATTCCCTGCCAATGTCCTTGAAATCATCTCCTGACCCACTTTTCTCCCTTTGTGTGAAAACAAACATATGAAGGGGAAAAAACTGTGATCATTCGGGGCTTTTCCAGAAGCCTTCCAGAGTAGTAATTTATAGCATAACTCAGGTCTTGCTATGGAAGTAAATCACTATTGCAGACAGGCTTTATATTGCCATAGCAGTAACTTGATGAGGCTAGTCTGGAAGACTTCCTTGGCAAGAATACAGCTTATCTTCATTATTTGTTCAGATGCATATTGAATTAAAGATGGCAAATTAAAACATCTAGTGCCTGCCATTCTATAATACCTACCACTTCTACGTTTTACCAAACTTTAGGTTCTGTGCCCCAAAATTCAACAAAAAGATATTTCCTTTCAATATAATTTGATGGGATGTTTAAATCTCTGATATAACCCTAAGTAGTCCAGAACTGTGTTTGCATGACATACAAAGCCAAAAGATTTATAAAATCCACCACCCTCCTTTGTCATGCCCAATTCTTTAATCACAGTTTTATGCTTACTTATTGTGAGGACAGTTGCTAGTAGACTTTTAAAATAAGTAACTATTTCTATAGAGAGAATTTAAGAGAATCCTTCACGTCTGCTCAGAAACCAGTCTCATTGGCTTTATGATGTCTTTTTAAAAGTATAATATTTTATTCTCAATCTGTCTGAGTACAACAGCAGAGCTATTGCAAGAGAAAGTGAAGATTGTTTGCCAACTGACACTTGATTTTGTCTTGTGCAAAGAAGGCCAATTTTCCAGCTGTTATTTCTGGCTACAAATGTATTTGGCTCTTGAGATTTACAATGTTTTTCTTCAGCTTATTTGCTCCTCATTCTATTTTATCATCTAAATCCAGTTACTGCCATCTGTACTAGTAGATTATCACTTACTTTCCTGTGGGATGTAGTCCTGCAGCTGTAAGGATTGCTGTTTGAATTAC